TCTTACTTTTAAACAAATTATAAGAGTTTAAAAATTCTTTACTTTATATATAAGAATTTGGCATACTGATTTTTATGTAACCATGCAAGATAAGCCAATCAAAACCAACTATTTCAATCACATGAAAGTTTTAGATTTTTTATATTTAAATATTTTCAATCTTTTTTTTTTTTTAAATCTAAATGCCAAAAAGTTGAAAAATAAAACAAATAAAGCAAGAAAGAGCAAAATTAGCTTGTTCTGTAAGGACCAAGACCAGTACTACCAGTACCAAGACTAGTATCACTGGCACCACAAATGCGATCAGAAATACTGACGCAAGAACTAATGTCATTGACTTTGCCTCAAGCGATGAATATGATAGCAACAATTTAACCCTGGTCAATTTTGATGATGAATATGACTTTCAAGAGGATAATTATTTTCAGAAAGCAGATGTTGCTAGTGCAAACCTAGCTATTAGTCTTCTTCTCACTGCGTTAGTGGCAAATTTAGAGAAAAAAAAGCACCTAGCCATTTACATTAGAAATTCAAAACAAACAAGACAAAGAAAAAACAAAATTCTAAGAGAAGCGGCAGTAGGATCTTTAAAAATATCGCAATTTTTCCTTTTGCCTGTTCTTTATATGAAAATATAGATAAAATAATAATAAAAATTGAAATAAAAATAGTAATAAAAATATGACTAATGAAGTGATTCTAATTGATAGACTAGATAATAATAAAACAATTAGTAAAGGATTGGAGAAAACAATTAGTAAAGAATTGGAGAAAACAATTGAGTTTATGAATAAAGTAATTTGTGACGAACAACTTTCAGATGCTGAGAAAGCTCGTTATATAGCGGTTTAGTACTTTCTCTAGCTGTTATTGAAGGGCAAAAAAAAAATTAAAGCATTGATAGCAGTTGCCAAAGTTGTTGGCAGTAGACCATAGCTTGCTAAATATATCAGGAAATGGGCAAATATCTGTATAAAAAGTATGTTCATTATTTTTAATTTTTAATTTAATTTAATATTAGTTTATTTTATTTTAGTTTTTGATAAATAAATAACAATTTTTGTGTAATTATAGAAGAATTAATCCAGAATCATTGTAAAAAGTTCCTTTCCAAAAGCCTGCTCAATAATGAGCTGATTTCACTTCAGGTGGCCACGTATTTGCATTCACAGAAGTTCAAGATTAAACCAGCAATAGTTAAAAATTATATAGAACAAGAGGTTCTTCTCCAATTAAATGAAGGATCTGTACAACTTATTTCTATTCGAACTATACGCTGATGGATGCATAAACTCAGTTTTCATTATAAATATTATCAGAAAGGCATATATATTGATAGGCACGAACAACCAGATGTTGTTGCCTACCAACAAATCTTTCTTCAGAAGGTTGCTGAATTTGACCAATTGATACCAAAATGGTATGATGAAAGTTGTAAAATTAGAACCTTTCCAGAATTAGTTGGTGATGAAAAAGAGTATATTTGGGTAATTCACATGAGTCTATCTTTTTTTTACTTATGATAGAATACATGCCATGTAGGGTCTGAAAGAAAAACAACTACTAAGAAAAAAAAGATTAGATCTTGGTATTCATGTTAGTAATTTTTTAACAGAAACTATTAGGCTACTAAGAAACGATCTTGAGGAGGTGCGTATAATGATAGTACTAGGTTCATATCATGATAGGTTTTAAAATATCTAAAAATTAGCAATTAGGTCAAATAGGCGGTAGATATATTTGAAAGAACATATCTAAGGTGTATAGATAGGGTAAAAAAATTAAAATTAAATTTAGATTTATTAAAATTTTTTTTTTAAAAAGTTTTTTTTTAAAAAAATTATTTTTTTTAAATGTAATTTTTTTTTTAAAAAAAAAAAATGTAATTTTTTAATAAAAATTTTGATTAATGATCATAAATATTATATTTAATTTTATTTATAGGCATATTTGTCTTTGACAACGCTATTTCTTATATATCTTTTGCGGAAGATACATTTGTAGCTTCAAGAATAAATCTTGAACCTAGCGGCTCTGTTCTAAAAATGCGAGATACTATGTGGAATAGATAACATCAATCAATGATTATTGAACAGGATCATTATATTTATAATAAAAAACAAAATCTTATATCAATTTGCGTGGCCAACCAAAAGGAATCAAATGGGTTCTTGAAGAAAGGAGGTTGTGGTGAGAAGGAATGGTCTTGGAGTGTACTTCATACAAAAAAGAAGTAAATTCTAGTGTTATTGACTATTATGCATATCATTTGATAGCTAATCAAACCGATTTCTTTGCATAACATGGTGAAATTCAGCAAGAAATCGAATCTCACAAGCATAAGGTAGTTGACTATTAGATTTTTTTTTTTTACTTCTTTAGCTCTTATTAATTTGTTTTTTAAGATTATATTTTATCCCAAATTCTATCCTGAATTCAATTATATTGAAATATATTAGGGATAGCCAAAAAGTATATCAGAGATAACTGTGAGTATTCTTTCCCAAAACATAAAGCAAACAATCCTTGAAGCTTTTGATTCTATTCTGGTAGAAAAAATTTACTCATTTGCTAGACTTTTGTTTAAATAGATAAATGCTTACAAGCATGGTTTGATGGGAAAAGCTGCTAAATATGCGGTTAGACAATATAGAAGGCATTATACAATTAATAAAGATATAATAAATCAAATCAGAGCGATTTGATCTATAATTTGCAATTTTTTTTTTTGCAAATTATTTTTTGTAAATTTTTTTTGGAAAAATTTATATATAGCCATGGCTACATGTAGCCTATACTATATAGTATTATATATATTATAATATACTATATAGTTAGCATATAGAAATAATATTTATTTATTATATCTATAATTAATCACACCCCCAATGCTTTAATTACTTGCAACTAGTATAATTAATTGTCGCCCCAGTGACAGTTTAGGGTTAATACGGGCTAAAATTATGTTGATGCTAGCTGGGTTTTATATAAAACCTAGCAGGTATCAACATAATTCCAGCCCACATTAACCCTAAATCTTGACCAAAAAGTGATCATTAACATATACTAATTACAACCTGCTAACTACTAACTATCTAACATTTTTAAATCTAACTCTAACTCTAACTTGTTAATTAACTATCATATCACTAACAAATAAAAACTCTAGCTAGCATCAATATAATTCTGGCTCACACAAACCCTAAATCTTGGTCAGAAAGCGATCATTAATATATACTAATTACAACTTGCTAACTACTAACTATCTAATATATCTAAATCTAACTCTAACTCTAACTTGTTAACCAACTATTATATCACTAATA